AAGGATTTTCGTTGCGAAGCGTCTGGGCTCCACCTGCTTTATTCTCACAGCCGTTTCGAACGCTAATCAATTTGTTATGGTAATGGAAAAATTCGGAATAAGTGTAGAGTTTTTGAGAGGCTTCAGCCGTTTATTACAAAGTACATGATTATGCATTTCATGGGTGTTCTCTTCTTTGTAGTTGAACCGTGATTGTTTCCGGAGCGAACGTTATCGAACCTCTGAGAGCTATGTTCTCCTAAATTATACCTGCATTAATGAAGCTCTTATAACACTTGGATTCAATGTGAGCGCAAGCGTAATGCTCTACAAGCTCGCACATTCAATCTCACTAACTACACGTAGAATACTGAACCAGGGTGAATATCGGTCGAGGAAATCCTCGACAGGGGGGTCGTACCTGTTGGGCTGGTCCATGGGGGGTCGTACTCTTGGGGTCAGTAACAGAAGTGGTATCATGGTGCAGATAGGTAATAGGGTATAGCGCAGCAGAAAATGAAAACATCCGAAAAAAACATGATATTAAATTTTCTTTGCAGGTTCAGTCGCTCCATTCCTCCACCTTCATGAGAAGGGCGTATTTGAAGGCAGTACAAAGAATGAAAGTGCATCCCCGCAAAGAAGACTGCCACATGTGCGCACGCGCTGCAAAGGCACCTCCTCTGCCTATCACTCGCTCCTTCTCCCTTAATACCTCGCTGAGAATGACGCTGTTGTTAGGGACCCTGTCGGAAAAACGACAACCGTGAAGAAAAAGCGCTGGGCAAATGAAGTTGTTTTTTAGGTTACAGGAATAGCACAACACACTATGTCTACTACAATACAGTTTCGTTCGAAGGTCCCCATCATATAACACCTTTCAATCGATTCTGCAACTGTGAGTGGAGGAGGGATGCATGGCTTATACCAATACCAAATCGGATGATGACGATTGCTCCTATTCTTATTGTTTGCGTTCAAAGATATTGTTCTAGACACATTCCGAGTGTTGCCAACGAGTCACACTTGCAATGGTGAATGAGGGAGCGGATTTCCAGGTGGCCGGATCCGACCTCGATAGATCCTCGACGCAATTATCTCTTCAACCAAAAAGCTGTAGAAGAAAACTAAACAGACCATCAGGAAGCGCAAACCTTCCGCTTTCCAAAACTATCTTCCCTTTTTCAGGATCTTACAATATAAGAGATATATTGCTCTTGAAGTGGCAAAAACTCGCGTGAAAATTTCGGCCTCCTCGACATTTACTCGACGAAATTTGACAGACCCTATCTTTCTGCAAGGAAGGCTTCCAGAGCAATTTCGATGCTTGTTGGAAACGCGAAATCCAGCTCTATCTAACTCTACCTCAAGCTGCTTCAAAGGTTGTGAAATGGAGGAATGCAACCTTTTCATCGAGGGTGTAGATTCGGACGTTTTTTTTTGAAATTTCGGCAAATCTGACCCAGTGACAATCGCGCCGCAGCTGCCGTTGAATCGGCCTTTGATACACTCGGCTGTTTTGATATACTCAAGCAAGAATCAAGATTGAATCGCAACCCCGTGTCTTCAGGATTTCTGTGCGTTTCTGAACGAACCTCGCCTTGAGGTCACACAAAGTTAATGCCTCTTTCCTCGAGTCGATATTTCAGTATGTACACAAAAGTATGCAGCGATGGAAGACGTGCATAGATGACAAGATGAAGCGTCCTTAGCATTATTTTGCAGAATTTTTTTTGATTTGTTTTGCAGGATTTATTTTAATTGAATTAATTTGCTCTGTTAGAGGGGGTCGTGCCAGGATCTCGATTTCGGGGGGGGGGGGGTCGTACCTCTGCGACCACGTACTCGACACGATTTTCACCCTGGTTGGAACTGGCCCTCCATTGGGAGTGGGGGTATCCAATCCAATAAATCGGCTACAAACAAGGTTACTCACTATTTCGGGGCATCTCGACTCGAGTACCTCGTGTTCGCACGTTTTAGCACCGTCTTGAAAAATTGTCAGGCTTCAATAAAATGGCAGTAATAGTCTATGGGAGGAGGTACGTATTAATGCTATCTTCAACCAGGGTGTACAATGCTGGTTCATAGGCATACTGTTGTGATATGTTGCTGGAGAAATTGGACGGTTTAATAAGCATTGTATTTTTATAATTTATCGCCACTTCACGTCAGGGTGAATATCGCTTGAGGATTCCTCAACGGCACGTCGAGGATTCTCTGCCCGATCAGAGACGATCTCTCGCGCGGACATTCACACTCGCCATGCCGTGCCGTCTGTGCTCTCCGCGCGGATGTTCACTCTCGGCACTACTCTCGCATGGTAGAGAGCTATGGTCGAGGATTTCCTCGACCGTTATTCCCTGCTTCACGTAATCTAACGCGTTAATACAAGCCTATCTGACAATTGAAGGGGTGTGTTGAACCGAAAGAAAAAGGCCCTAACTAAGATGCCATTTCAGCTGATATACGACTGCTGTGAGCGCTTGGACAAACCATATGTGCTGCCTATTAGGGAAATTTCAGAGAAGAGAACGTAGTATCACCTCAGTATCTTCGGTCGCAACGAGATTGTATCGTTTGAGAAGGTGTGCGAGTAAGAGTTTCTCCTCCATGTGAGCGAGTCGCATCCCGATACATTGCCTTGGACCAAGTCCGAAAGCCAAGAACGCCGCTAGTGGCCTTCCTGACGACTCCATCCACCTAAATAAGCATTTTTTGAATAAAACTGAGTGGCAGGCGTCCACAAGTATATTCGGGAATCATTGGGTATTTGACCGGATTTCCCGGTCGCAATATCAAGGTGATCTGCGGATCAGTAGCTGAAGTAGTGTTCGGATCAAAAAAGCTGAAGTACGTCAAGCAATACATTGATGCTCGACCGGCTGTCCTCCAATACTTGGTACGAAGCTCCCTCTTGGAGATTTAGAATTTGGAACACAGTGAGTGAGCTTATGTTAGCAGTATTTTATACTCCAAAACTTTGATTTTAGGTTGATAATTTGTAGTCCAGACTGACGCACAACAATAATGTTATCGTTTCATGACCGAAACCCAAGCTAAGCTAAGTCAAGGGAAATTGATGAAGGATAACGTCTACAGCTGTATGTGCCCACTCATCCTATGAATGGTGTGGTCTCACATAATTTTTGTCGAATATTTAGAAAGATTTGGGTTCACTTCCGCATACCGCACCGGTGAAGGGCATCATTTGCGTTAGCTTCGGATTGACCGTCGTTTGCATCGCAACGATGGTCATCCGGAGCTGGACGCATAAACGTCACGCGTTGTTGCCTTTGAATAATTTATCCTGTGGATGAGCGAAGGCCCCCAACTTCCTTTATCATGCCGTACAGTCACAATAACATATTCGTTGCTATCAGTTGAAATCCTTCATACTCACAATCAACAGACCATTACGTGGAATTACCTTTCTGGTCGAAATACGTCGGCGTCGTTTCCCCAGATTTCTTTGTCGTAATGAAGAGACATGGTATCAGCAACCACGAATTCTCCTTCTTCAATGGGTATTCCTCCAAGAGTGGTCGCTTTCATACAGCGACGCGCATTAGCTCTGAAACGGCCTCATAATTTTGTCACTGTTTTGATTGCTATGGTGTTCTGAGCCTCACATTTGGGCGAGTGGATACATCCGCAGGGACTCCTTCATGACGGAGTCGAGATACTTCATATTTGCTATGGTTTCGTAGTTGATTGACTGAAAATTAGCTCAAACAATCTGAATTGAGTAGTTATCCCGATCAACTAATTTTTTGCTTTCTGCTTTGATCTTGAAAGATTCCCTGAATTCTTTACTTTTCCAAAATACCGAAATTTCAAACAAACCTCGTCGGTGCAGCACTGATCAATCTCCTCTTGAAGAACCTTCTGAGCATTAGGATTTTTCGCCAATAAATAGCTGACTATTGCCAGTGAAGTGGCAGTAGTGTCGAACCCTCCTAAGAGGAACACGAAACACTGAGCAGCGATTTCGTCCCGGGTGAGATGTTTTGAAAACTGAAAAGCTACATTTTATCATATATACAGAAGACAGGAAGCATAATGGGTTTAAGGGTGTAAGGGTGCTGTATAATAGGACCGTTTTTTTCACAGCCTAACGGATCTTTCCCTCCACGGCAACCAGGTTTAACGATCCAAGAGAGCGATGCCTTTCTGCTATGTTAGCTTGGTATGATAAAATCATGGAGAAAATAAGGTTAGGTGTAACACAAAAATAAAGATAACTAATACTTTCGCTACATCGCTTCTAACCGAACATTGCTCGGTATTTTTCAAATTATTCAAACAGTAATTGCAACTCTACTGCCTAGAGTTGTTCTGCCATATACCAAACAGATCGTTACGCAACGCTCATTCGTTTGACATTTCTAACGATTTTTCTGCGGCTACACCAGCGCCATGATTCCACCCAATTTCTTGATACAGAGGAAATTCTTTTCTGAAGACGACGAATTGTTGAAAACGTCGACCGAATAAAGTATAGTTGCAACCTATTAGCAATGCGCTCCAAGCACAACAGGTTCCAAGAAGGACCGAGCATTGAACGCAATAGAGAGTTGGAAACTTGTCGCCACCACGAGTTTATTCGGGCATTGAATGCTTGGTGCGACTCAAAAGCCCCAACTAAAATCCTTCTCTGACTCTGAATTTCCCTTTAGACCGAAATCCATTTGAACACACACTGTGCTAGAGCTCGATCCCATTGAAGGGTGAAGAGAAATGCTCTAAAACATACTCCTCTTGGACGACGTAATTGAGCGACAGCTTGAAAAAATTTCCTGGTCATAAAGATGCGCCATTCTAACGCGCTATCTGGGAAGCTCAAGGTCCAGGACTAATCAGAAACGTATCACCTGCATTCCAGATTTTGAGAACTCCATACTATTGTTGAAGTCCTCCTCAGCTCTAGCGTCTAGGAAGAGATCTATGAAGTCCGTTGGTTCTTGAGGCTGAGCACCTTCTGTTGCGTTCTTGGCCTGGAAAGCTTGTCGACTGTGTTGCCGGTCAGTAATCGTGATACATATGAAACAGCCTCACTCTCTTTTCGATCCTTTCATCAATAGTCTTGTAGATCACTTTGTAGATTGTAGGAGTTTTACTTTGTCCTAAGGATGGAATCATGTATAGCTTCCTAAAATTCGAAGTGCTAGGAGATTATCGTTTCTAATTATATAAGGCATAATTAGGAACTTTGGAATACTATAGAATACTAGACTATGGTCTGTTTGGACAATGAGTAACAAATTACGTTTTTATATATGTAGTAGACCAGGGATGTCTCCTTGGACCGGGTGCGTCATACAATATAACAATAATCATTAGTCCTTGAAGCTATCGGAGAAGCGTTCCAAGCACATTGTGTGTTGCGCAGCTCTCAACGAGGAGGTCGCACCTGGGGTTGGTGACGATCAAAGGGGGGGGGGTCGTATGGCGGTAGGGGTATCTCTTAGACGCGATTTTTCGAAAACCGAGAATTTTTTTTCTAAGAAAAGTGAGCAGTAAGTAGTTTGAATTAGAGTATTTGCCGGTTCATTTGGACGAATTAACCGCCCACCCCTCCCGCTCGAAGGCCATATTGAAGGGAAAAGTGGGCGGGATTAGAGTGTGTTATGTTAGCATTCTTCATGGGGGTGATTAGTGCTCTGGTAGTAGCGGCAAGAGATTGGAGCAGGTCGTTTCGGGGGTTTCCCCTAAGGCTGTGATAGTGGCCACGCGTCGTATCGAGACCCCTCTGATAGTGGGGGGGGTCTC